TCCCCCGCCCGGGATATCATTTTTTTAAATTTTTTTTTAATTTTTTTTAAATTTTTTTAATTATTATTCTTGTTTATTGTCAGCCCGGGCTGTGCCAAGGCTGGCTGTGCAGCGCCGGCTGCGATCGCTACCGGCGGCGGCAGCGGCAGATAGAGAGAGAGAGAGAGAGAGAGGATGCTCAACAAAGGGAGAAGCGGGGGTTCCGCATGAGCGGAGGGAAGGGTGTTATTTTTGCCTTCCTCTTTCGGAGGGTTGCACGCTTCCCGCAGCCTTAAAGGCTTGAAAAAAACCCCCTCGGTGTGATGCGCCGGGGTTGCGTGGCATCCCCCGGCAGGCGCTGGAGCTGCGGGGCTCGGCGCAGGTCTGACAGCGGGAGGGCTATTATGCTTGGTGGTGGCAGAAGCGACAGATTTTCCTATTTAAGAAGATGGGGACTGTCGGCTGCAAGTAGGTTTTTTTCGCCTATTGAACTCTCTTAATGTATCATTATTCTTACTTCTTATGCTCCGGGTCACAACACGCTAAGCTTCTTTTGTCTGTGCGTGGGGCGGGCGGGGAGGGGGAGCTGAGAAAGGAAACCCGGCAATTAAAAATATTCCTGCCTGGGCATTTGGCTTTGATGAGCAATATTCTCTCTCTCTCTCTCTTTTCTTTTTTTTTTTCCTTTTATTATTATTATTTTTTTTTTCTTTCCGTGGAGTGGCAGCTTATTCTGACCTAACGGGAAGGTTGCTGGGTGGCGCAGCAAAGGGGGCTTCTTGGAAAGTATTCTGGGTTGGGTTGTGACGTAGGCTGCCGGGGAAATCTGCCTCTCTCTGCCTCGCTGAAGTCATAAACCTGGGCATTCCCCGGGGCCGGCTTGTATTTTGCCCCCTTGTCATCCCTGCTGTCGTGGCTGCAGGGAGGCAGAGGTGGGAAATTAATTTCAAGGAGAGTTTACAAATATGAAGACTGAAAGCAAAAGAGAAGCTCCGGACGGAGTTTGTTCCCTCTCTATGGTTTTTATTCACCAAGGCGTTCTAGGTCTGCCTATAGATTCAAGTTATTTGGCAGTTTTCCGTTCTCGCGTCAGGTGACTGATTGTGAATCTCTGACCCCAGAGGGTACCGTAGATGCAATTTATTAAAAAAATGATGTCTAAAGCAGAAGTCTCCAATTAGGTTGGTATTTTTTAACATCTCCTCTGCTTACTGAAATAATAATTTTGGAGAGCCAGTAGGCAAGAGCCTTTATTCCTAAGACTATCCCTTTCACTGCAAGTTCAAAACTGTAAGCAAATTCAGTATTTTTTAAAATTACATTGTCTACGCTGCTAAATAAAAAGGCTAAGCTTAATTTTACACAATGGAATTTAAAAATCAAGTTCTATTCTGGGCCCCTGAAACACAACACCCAGTGATGACCAGCTTGTCTGTTTTCTCTCACCTTTGCCAGGCCATGAAAGTCTGGAGTCCCACCTCGCATCCCCTCTTCTATTTTATTTTCAGATCAAATACATTTTTTTCTCATTTTCCTTTCCTTCAGAGATTTCAGTCAGAGCTTGAGTGCCTTGCTGGTCTTACCTTTGTTCATTTGGGGGAATCACACCCTCAACTGTGAATGTCTCTGTATGGCCCTATACGTGTATTTATATTCATGTAGAAGCAACCAAGCAGGCATCCTAATAAAACAAGGACGCCTGCAAATAAAATCAAGAAAGGAGAGTTATCATGACCTATCTGTAAGCAGTTCCTGGATATCTGAACATTACTGGAACAATTACATATAAACCCTTGGAGGAAAGGTCGTGCATGTATGTAGAATTTCCCCCTGCTGGACAATGGAAATCTCTTGTCCAACACAAATGAGAAAAGGTGATACTCAGCGCTCACACAACATTCAGCTCTGAGAAACAAACACTGCCCAACCCCTAAACCCATGAATCTGGTGTCACTACCCCATCACAAAAGGCAGAGGAGTATTTAGGTAGGCCTGGGGGGTGGCAATGGTTTGTAGGAGCTATTGCCAGGGCAGGGGCAGTGCCTGTCAGGGGCTGAAGGCTCAGAAAACAACCTGTTGACAGAACAGGGATGCAGCCCCTGGCCCACAGAAAGCCAATGGCAAAGCTCCTATTGACTTCAAAAGGCCTAGGATTTCACCCAGGAATGATAAGTTCTAAGGGGAGAGATGGGATTTTCATCAGACAGTAATTGTTGGTAAGCCTTAAAAGCCCATTCTCTCATTTTTTTAACTCTTACTAATAATTTAAGAGTTTATTAATTTATGACCATTAAGAAACATCCTCACTGTTTCGTTTTTCCCTCTCTCGTTGTTATCCCACACAGTTGAGCTTGTCCAGTCTGCAGAGAGAGCCACAAACAGTAACAGATTCCCAAATGGTGAATCTCTCCCTCATCCTCTCCCTCTTCTTGTCCAGCACTTGATCTCACCATAGGTAAAAGCAATTTCAATTTAAAATTAATCACTGTTGGCAGCATAAGCACTTCCTCTGCAGTAACAGGATGGATGAAATTACAAGTTGGACTCTACAGTCACAAGCTAGTCAAAAATAAGCAAATATTCAAATACTTCATTAGGAATTATTCTCTCCTTGAAGCTTTAAGATTTGCTGCTCGGCTTTGCTGTCAGCCAGAGAGATTTGCTCCTGATGGTGCTGTAATCCACTGCTGCTGGTAATTAGACATCATTACTGCTGCGTTAAAGGGAAAGAGAGAAGGAGAGAGGACAGGCTGGGGCTAATTAACTACTTGATTCTAATGAAAGAAAGAGAGCCTGATAGCAACTGGGAGGTTGCACCGGAACAGGCTAGATGTACAACACAGACTTAATTGAAGCAGGGGTGTCTTGCAGTCTCACTGTAGCTGAGGCTTGGTCTACTTTCATATTCTGTGGGCACTAGCACACGAGGTATTATTCTGTTTTTCCCTTGCCTGGCTGGTAAGTAGCTCAAAATCACAGGCCTACCTCCAATATCAAGTTTAAGCATGCCAGCAAGGAGAATGCATAGATGATTATGTGCTGGATTAATCTATTTTACGGGTATGGTCTCCTCAAGAGCAACAGGAACAAATCAATTTCTGCATGTTCACATCCCTCTGTGGCCTAGGAGATGCACTTTTGGTCACCAGGCAACAACATCCCCTGCAAAACAGCCATTTTAGGTCCAGAGCGGGACAGAGCACAGCAAGGTATTCGTACATGCAACCCAGCCAGTATCTCACTTCTGCAACTTTTCAGATTGCTACTGTTATCGCTGTAGGTTTTCTTTCATTAAGCCCAAGCTGCACTTTATGAAAGTGGTGAAATTATGCCTCTCCTAAACGCACTGTATAAATGTGTTAGGCCAACGAATATGCCAAATGGCTGACAGTATCGACTTCTAATGGTTGGTACTCACAATCCATAAGGAGGTGTGGAACTAATATTTCTAGTACAATACCTTTTCTAACCGTATACTTTATTTTTATGTTTTTTTCTTTTTTTCTGGGTATTTTCTGTATAGTTCTTTAACTGAAATTATTTATCAATTGGCAACTTGAAAACAAATATCTTTTCACCACTTTTCTTTCTCTTGCTTGATGTTGTCCATAGACACAAATATGGCTCCTAAAATCAGCCTTAATTCAGAAGTATGTCATAAAATAATGTCCCAAGCTGTATCATTGGATTCTAAGTAGAACTTTCCTTTAAAAACGAAGGGCCAAGATGACTGCAGGATACCTTTCAAATACAGAATTTACATGGCATTAGCAAACTAATAGAATATAACCTCAAAGGCCAAGTTCAGATTGCTTTTATGTATTATTAATGTGAAATGACTTTAATGAAATCACAAGCCTGGTAATGTATGAATTTTCCTATGTCTTCTTTTATATATTCCAACTATAAGCATGGAATGAACTTTCATTCAGAACCCAAATTTTGTTCTGTTTAGTTAAATCTTTAGATCTTCCAGGAGGATCTGGTACCTCTTGGATGGCAGCTAGCAGACTGACCAGCGAGGCTCTCTGCAGGTGCAGGGCTGTACTATTGAACCTGATTACAGGATTTAGGGCTTAAAATTACAGGCCAGCCCGTTCCATGGAACAGGCTATATCCCAGCCCACATCTTGTTCATTTAGTGGTGAAGAACAGTAGACGGACGCGTGGATTTATTATTTGGTGTGTTTGGTTTTATATAAATGACTTTGCTTATGAACAATAGAAGAAATAGATCACAGTAAAAATAGCTTATGCTTTAAATCATCTTATGTTTTAAATCGTTCATTATTTTAGGGCATTTTATAGCAATCTGAAAATATGCAGCTTTGCTTCATTGCGTTTCTCCCCGTTTTTGTATCCCCGTGGATATAAAAATGGAATAAAAGGGTTTGTCAAATATATATTGGTAGCTCTGTAGCCTACTGAACTGCCAGCACATAATGGCAGTAAGTACCACAGAAAGGTGATGCTGAGGGTGAGCTATAATTTATCCCAAGGCACAATTCTGCGGTAGTTTAGAGTCCCCCTTAAATGCACCTTCCAGGCTCAGAAGCTGCCCTATCCCTCCCGTTTTAAGTGCCCACCACGTTTTCCTTCACCCCAGTTCAGGTCTGCAGAGGGAGAAACTGTCTCCCCCAGTTCCCCAGAGGCTCTGCCCTGCTGTCTGCAGCCCTCCCGACGGACTCGGTGAGGAGGGATGCCGGTGAATCAGGC